CACCTTATTCCACGGGAGTTCTAGGAAAAAAAAAATCTAGGAGCAAAACATCAACTGCAATCTGCTTTTATGGTAGTTAGTTCTGAGGAATTTTAGACTTAATGTGAAGCCTAAACCTAAGATAGTAAACTCCAAGCGAATTTTCATGAGAAATCTCCGTTGAATATGTAATGGACTATTTTGAGGACTTGAAAACTTCTGGAAAGTTCCCAAAATAAGTCTCAAGTTAATTAAATTGCCTTGATTGTATTGTAGCTTGAGAAACTGATGCTCACAATATTCCCCTAAATTCCAAAAGTTTCCACGATTTTCCTAACGATCATGAATCTTCTGAAAAGTGTTAATAATTCACTGAATTTCTCGAAAACTGATGTTTTTAAAACTGCCCAAAATATTTCTCAATTTCCGTAAAATTCTGTAGACTGCCATGAATATCTTATTATTTTTTTTATAAGAACCCATCATTTTACTGGAATTGATTCAATTGCCTTTAAGTTCTACAACTTACTTAAGCTTTATAAGGTTTATAATCGCTCACGGAACTTTGTCTTAAATCACAAATTTTCTCTGGAAATCCTGGACATCTCAGAAGTTTTCTATGCTTTACCTTAATTTCTTTAAATTGATCAAATGTTCCGGTAAATTTTCTGATATATATTATATATATATAGAAGCTTCAGGGAATTATTCTAATGTTTTTGGATCAATCATAGAATTCTCGGAATATATCAAAATTCTAAGAAACTCCTTGTAAGTCGCGGCAAACTTCCTTAAGTTAATCACCCATATTCTTGTTTTCATTCGAACCGTATTTTCCATACAAAAAACTTTTTTTTTTTTGTATGGAAAATATGGTTTGAACGAAAACAAGAATATGGGTGAATATGATTTTTCTGATGTTTTCTGATCTTCTTGAACTACTCGGAACTTCACTGAATATAACGAAACAATCTAAAAATATCTAAATTTCTTAGAAGTTATCTGGGAGTTCTTGAAAATATCGGAGCGTACTAAAAGTTCTGGTTTTTTTTAAATAATGGAACTTCGTTGATGTTCTCTAATCAATTTAGCTAAATTTTCAATTTATTTTTAGATTTTGAAATTTCCTTGAAATACTGTCACATTTTCCAGATGTTCATATAATTTTTATCGCGTTCCATAAATTTTCTCTCAGCAAACCAAAGTTTCTGGAAATTCCGGTTTCTGCAATTTCCTTGAATTTTTTAGAACTGTCCTTTTATACAAGTCTGTTGAGATAAAGACTATTAATGGTAGTAACCTGGAACAAGTAAGTGTGTCTGCCTGTATTCGCGGAAAGCGGTTCGTGCTTTGCGCTGTATATATTCCTCCAGATCGTAGTCGGGACGTAGGTGTTATCGATGCCCATTTAGCTACTCTTCGTTAATTACGTGATGCAACTCCAGATGATGACCTTTTGCTTGCTTGTGGTGACTACAATCAACCACACATAGCATGGCATTGTCTTGATGATGGAATCTTAAACCTTGATCCTTCCACGACGTCTGCTGCCAGTGCTGCTCTGATGGATGGAACGCGGCTTCCTGAATATCCGGCAATACAACTCTATTCGCAATCACCTGGGGCGCATCCTAGATTTGGTTTTCTGTGATTCCGATTGCAACATTGTAGTTAACGAAGCGGTGTCCCCATTGCTGGCTATTGATTTACATCATCCACCGATTTTATTCTCTTTACCAACTCAATCCGATTGTGTTGACCGTGTGGAATCCCTTGATGCTGGTGAACATACGCTCGACTACTCAAAAATCGACTTCGTCATGCTCAACGAGTTCCTGATGAGCTGTGATTGGAGCAGTATTCTGGCAACAAATGACGTCAACGATATGGCATCACAATTTTGCAACATAATTTGCAATTGGCTCACCGATAACACTCCAAGACGAAAACCTCCTATATCTCCTGCTTGGAGTTCTCCTCTCCTGCGGCTTTTGAAACGCGATAAAAATTCCTGGCAGCGTAAACTTCGCCGACATCGAACTTCTGAAACGAAACGCAACTTTCATCGCGCTTGCAACGCCTATCGTAAGCTTAATTCAACCCTATACAAGTCATATGTCTTGCGTGTCCAGACCAATTTACGTAGAAATCCCAAGAGCTTCTGGAAGTTTGTGAACTCCAAGCGAAAATCGTCGAATATTCCTTCATCCGTATTTTTTGGCGATTTGGAGTCTACTTCTATGCTCGAATCGTGTGATCTATTTTCCCGCCACTTCAGTTCTGTTTTTTCGGATTCAGCCGCCAACGCAGATGAAGTAGAAAGAGCGGCTTGCAATGTTCCTGAGGGTCTCATCGATTTGCGTACATTTGTGGTTAGCAATATGTATGTCGTTAAAGCTGTTAGGAAGTTGAAGAAATCTGTTTCACCGGGTCCTGATGGTGTACCTGCAATCATTTTTTGCCGCTGTGTTGCTGTTTTAGCTGATCCCCTAGCTCGCATCTTTACCGCTTCGTTGCACCAAGGAGTTTTCCCCGAAATATGGAGACATTCCTTTATGTTCCCTGTCCATAAGAAGGGCGACACACGTGACGTGACAAATTATCGTGGCATAACAAGTCTATCTGCAGCTTCAAAATTATTCGAGATCATTGTGAACGATGCTATCTTCTTTCATGTCAAGAGCTACATTTCAGCAACGCAACACGGATTTATGCCAGGACGCTCAGTTACATCAAATTTGCTGGAGTTCACCTCAACATGTATAAATCACTTGGAAAATAGGGCTCAAGTAGATACCGTTTATACCGATCTGAAAGCGGCATTCGATTGCATCGATCATGGTATTCTTCTTCGGAAAATGTCTCGCCTGGGAATTTCGGATGGTTTGGTTGATTGGCTGAAATCATATCTTTCCAACAAAACACTTCGTGTCAAGCTGGGTTCGTGCACTTCATCACCATTTGCTGCAACCTCCGGTGTTCCCCAGGGCAGCAATTTAGGACCATTGCTGTTCACAATCTTCTTCAACGATGTGACGCTCCTCTTGCCGAGTGGTTGTGTGCTCATATACGCCGATGATCTCAAACTATACATTGTTGTCAAGAACGTCGAGGATTGCCGTCAGCTCCAAGCAATGTTAGACCAATTTGTTGATTGGTGCCGCTTAAACAAGCTTTCCGTCAGTATATCAAAATGTGTGGTCATGACATTTAATCGCACAAGAACGCCAATCGTATTCGATTACTCAATCGATGGATTTGTACTAGAAAGAGTAGAACAAGTAAGCGACCTAGGTGTAATGCTGGACCCTAAACTTACGTTTGACTTAAACCGTTCAATGGTAATCACTAAGGCTAATCGTCAGCTTGGTTTTATATCAAGAATCTCAAGAGATTTTTCGGATCCGTACTGTTTAAAAGCACTGTACTGTTCACTCGTTCGTCCGATTATCGAGACTGCATCTGTTGTTTGGACTCCCTACCAACTTTCCTGGAACATCAGAATAGAACGTATCCAAAAAACATTCATTCGTCGAGCATTAAGACAACTTCCTTGGAGAGATCCACTAAACTTACCTCCGTATGCTGAGAGATGTCGCTTGCTAAGCATGGACACGTTACAACGACGGCGACAAATTCAACAGGCAACATTCGTCGCGAAGTTATTAAGTGGGGAAATTGACTCTACCCACTTACTCTCTTGCTTGAACTTTCGTGCGCCAAGCAGATTTCTACGCTCAACGTTCCTATTGCGTCAAGACTCACACCGCTCTTCTTTTGGACAACATGAACCTGTTACGAGTATGATTCGCACGTTTTCTACAGTTGAAGAGTTGTTCGAGTTTAGGGAACCTGCTGCTCAATTCCAGAGACGTATTATTAACTCCAGATACATTTAGTATTTGTTATGGCTTCTGGTTCATTAAGACTTATTGTCAGATGGATGTATTAAATAAAAATAAAATAAAATAAAATAAAATCTGATCTGTCTTGATGTTCTCGGAGCTTCCTTAAAACTCTCAACTCTAATGAAGATCTCGGTTTTGCATTTTAAATAAATGGAATTCTCGTAAACACCTTTAAACTTCCTGGAATTCACTGGATTTCATTGAAGTTCCTGAAACATTTCTGAAGTATTCATAAATTTTCTGAAGGTCTCTGTGCTGAACCTTTCGGAACATCTTAAGGGTTCTCGATTTTAATTCAGCACATCATGGAACTATCCTGAATTTGTCTAAGCTAACGCTTAAAGATTTTTAAACCAATTCAATAGTCTGGGCTAAAGTTTCAGGGACTTCCCCTTAAGATCTCTGGAATTCCCCAAAGATTTCTAGATCTACCTTCTCTGAGATCAATAGAACTTCATTAAAGTTTTCACATTTTTGTTACTACGAAACGTTAAGACATTAAAAATGTTGTGATCTTAGTCTTACTTAAATGAAGTAAGAGTTCTACTTCAACATTTAATGGATTTTATAGTAAAGCTTTTCCTTTAAAACTGATTGTCATGTCTGTGTTAAAAACATATTCAAAATGTTTGCGTTAAAAACATATTTTTAATGCGTGTTGCGTTGATGTAAATTTGACAGTGCGACAATAGATTTAACTATCACTTTAACGTACCATTTGTGGGATGCTGTATAGACTGAATTCATTAATCGTATGTATGTTGTGTCCAATTTGACAGAAATTTTACATATTCACTTTGATTTGCCATGTCGACTTGTTGATTTGATTTTGATCGAATTTCAAATCTGTTTGTGATTAGCTTGATAGAATCCGTTTCTTTTTATTCAATATCAGAGCCCTGCCAATCAAGTGGGCAGAAATGAATCATTCTTGTCATGTTCTGGGTAATAACTTCCTTTCATCTCTTCTGAAATAGAAGCAAATGAAAAATCCTAACTAATATGAATCAACCAAGTCAGTTCAATCAATTTCCTGGAATCCCTCGAGCAAAAAAAAATATGGAAACTAATTTGCAACCTCTGACAACCTCTTTTACCTTCCTTTATCCGCAGGTGATGCAAAAACCCTTCCTTTCACTTCGACACAAAAGCTAAATAAAAAACCAAGAACGAAGCGAAATGGTGAAAGAAAACTAATTTTCAAATCCCTCATCGAGAAGGACAGCAGCAGTAGAGAATCATCAGTTAAAGCTTCCCCATAGAGGGCAACATCATCGGTCGGTATGGCAGCTGCTACTAGCGCTACCGTTCGGATGTTGTCACGGTACCAGTTTCACATGGATGAGCAGGTTGTGAAAGAGGATTTCAGAATAGGAAATTAACAAGGAAACCACCGACGACACCGACGACGACAACGACGACGACGACGAAAGTGACGATGACCAGCTACGTGCTGATTGCACAAATTAACCCGACCGGTACCAATTGGACCAACCCAGCAAGCGATACCAGTTGAAACCTCCTCTTCGAGTCTGCAGCGATTGAATCGTCCACGGTATGGCTATGGTAATTATTGTCTTTTACTTTCAATATAAGTTAATTAAATTTTCGAATTGATTATGATTTCGACGGTTAAATGTACGGTTGTCGGGTAAGTTTTTCTTCCAGTGTTATTAGTTCTGGGTACGTCGATGTTTGAAAAAAAAATACGGGAATCAAAACCAGATTTTAACAGAATCCAAGTCACGGTAGAGCACCACCACGTCGGTGATACAGCAAGGAGTTATCATGAATGTTTCATTTTTTTATTCGTTGTTGACGGCTACTGATGATGGAACACCAACATGTGTAGTGTTTTTTTTTGTCCTTAGGCACTATATGTAGTGTCGGTCGGTTGGATAGCGAGGACGCGGGTGTTTGAGAAGCGTTTTAACAAGCGAATGTGAGAAGTCTGTCAATCTGATGCCAAGGTATTTTTTTTTTCTGATAAAATGGCAGCTTGCGAAAGGTCATGGATTTACGTGAAGATTATTTTTCAGTTTGTTCGTTAGTAGGATGTGCGTGTTAAGATGGATGACTATTGCAGTGATGTACTCTAATCCAGAATTATGTATTCTTCTTTTTCTTCTTGGCATTTCAAGCTTATTGCTTATCGCATGTTAAGCTTATGGCGTACTCTTTACTTAGAGTTCTAGATTTAACCATTTTTGCATTTGCATAATTGTGTTGCAAGTAAAATCATTCTCTATGCCCAGGGAAGTCGAGAAATTTACCAACTTGAAAAATGCCAAGATCGGACTGGGAATCAAACCCAGCCATCTGCAGTATGGTCTTGCTTTATATTTGCGCCTTTACCGACGGAGCTAAGGGAGACCCCAATTATGTATTCGTTATTTTTTTTAAATTAAACTCAAATGTATGAATTAGAATTGATAAACGATTTGTTTGTCCCATATGTGCTGAAACAGTAAATAACGACTCACGTAAACTGGCTCTTATGCTCACAAATATTTCCCCCACCTATCTACAGTATTTAAGTTACCTAGCACACCTTTTCCTCCGCTTTTCCAACTCTGAGCGCCGTCAAGTGTCTGTACGTGAAAATACAATTTTTACGACCCATTCCCATTACATCACGTCCGCATCCCCCGCCGGGATGGCACCCGATTCTCGAGTGGAACAACATTTAGGTACATTGCGGTGGCAGCACCCTTACAAGAACTCATCTGCGCCGGATTTCATTACCCCCCACGAGTCAATTAAGTGCGCGCAGTTCCAGCAGTCTCGAATAAAATTCCCATAATTCCTTGTTATGATTTCGCCTAAATAGCCAAAAGCGGAAGATGAAACCATTAAATGCCCCTAGTCTACCGTCATAAATAAGCATTAACTGACTGACATCAAATCAAATTTCCTCCCAGGGCGCGCCACCAAAAAAACGAGCTATACTTTACGAAAGCACCGAAGAATGCTGCTGGCTAATCGAATTCTACGAAAAGTTAGAAGACGTCACACACTTGCTTCGAACGGTTAGGAAGGTAGCTATGAGAACATAAACATGGCTGCATCTCATCCCCACATGCGATGGATGATGGAGGAGTGAATCCCGTACGCATCCGATTTCCCGGCTTAGGCTTACCCGTGCCAAAATTTAAGACGAAGCAGAAGATGGTTCATAAGGATCCTAAAGCGAATTCGTGAAATAATAGCTAAAGGAGATCAAGGATATTCGTTGTTGGGTGCTGAGTTGTTGTTCACAGTTGATACACATCACAATCAATTAAGCTTCTTTTCATCCGCACTGCCTGACAGGATGGACGATGCTGGAGATGGGCTGAAATGTCGTAACCTTTTCAGAGTGTCTTCATATTTCATCCAAGTAAACGGTCATATGCAGACGGCTGAGTATCAACTTTTCGAATAGCTTCGAGATGGAGGACAAGAGGCTGATGGGGCGATAGCTTTTGGCACTGGTAGGATCTTTGCCAGGCTTGTGTATTGGAATCACTTTGGCTAACTTCAAGCATGCAGGGAAGTAGCCAAGCTCCAAACATTTGTTGAAGATAACGGTAAGATGGTTGAAGAAGTCAATACTCAAGTTTTTCAACTCGAGGTTGACTACACCATCCAATCCCGCAGCCTTTATGTTTTAGTACTTCTAATAGCTGCTATCACCTCATCAGCTGATATTCTACTATGATCATGCACTCTACGGGGGTGCCAGCCTAGAGTCATTGCCTCCAGTACGGTAGGCCCATGGGGGCTCACCATGGTTTGGCCAAGATTACGTGAAATCACAAAATGTTGGCCAAGAGCATTGGCCTTTTCAACTGGGGTTATCAGTAGGGATGGGTCTTAAATCTGGTCAACAGAGGAAAGCGGAGGGGTCGGCCTCGACTTATTTTTCAAAATTTTGGTCATCTTCCAAAATGGTTTTGCACAATCTGGGAGAGAGCGAATCTTTTTGGTAAAGTCGTTATTTCTGAGATCCACCATCCTGGCCTGGATAATTTTGGTTAGCCTATTGACATTGGTCTTCAAGTGGGGCAGCCCAGAACGCTGGACCTGCCTACGAATGGTGTTACGGAGCCTGATAAGATCTTTGGTTGGGCTGTCAAGGTTCAGAGTATGACTCACCTGTCTGGATGCTGGTACGTGTTGCTCCCTGACACGGGATATCGCCTCTTCGATGGCTTGCAGACACTGATCGACTTCTTCATACGACTCCGGTAGGACGTCGTAATAGATTGCTGTGCCCACACAGCGCTGATACTGCTGCCAGTTGACCCGATGGTAATTTCGCCGGGAAACTTGAAACCTTTTGGCCGAGGAACCTGCTTCGGCCACCACCGGATAGTGGTCCGAGCTCAGTTCCTGATAGGCGATGGGTTGGGAGATGTTATCGCCAATGTTGCTGATGAAGATGTCGATGGTGACATGGTAGACCGCGATGATGGTGATTGGACCAAGTGATGTGCTCACCTCAACTCCGATGGCTTCGATAGTTTTCAGCTGGAAGCTTGGTAGTAGCCGGCAGCTGATGTTCCGCCTCGCAGCGATGGCCACTCCCTCTCTCCCGGAGCTGGTGCGGTCAAGCCTTACGAGCCGAAAGTCGGGAAGGAAGACGTTCAGCTCGGGCTTCAAGTGAGTCTCGGTGATGACGGCTATGTCGATGTGCCGTTCGTTGAGAAAGTCAACAAACTCAATGTTTTTGCTCTTCAAGGAGCACGCATTCCAATTTAAGATCTTGATGGCTTTACGGTCCATACTTAGTGACAAGGGACAGGGCAGCATGTAGCTGTTCAGATCGAGTCTTGCAGGTGCGCATGATGATGATGACCTCGGCCACGAGCGTCACAAGTTCCTCCGAGGTGAACGGAGAATCGTCGACAGGATCACCTGAGACAGCAGCAGCGTATGATAAACCAGGGGCGGTGGATGAACCTGAAATTGGCTGGACCGCAGCAGCAGTGAGACGATGCTGAATTGTCCGACTGTTGGGAACCATTTGAATACTCGCATGGTTGGCTTGTTGGTTGTTGAGCGGAAGCAGGGCTAGGTTCAGAACATGTCGACGGGGCTGGAGAGCTGGGTACTGGACTTCCGTGAGTACAGGAGGCGAACGATGATTACGGAGGCGACCGACCTGGTTGTTGATTGTAGCTTTCCGACGGATATTAATAAACTCCACTCGCTTGGGACGTCCGCGATTGGAGGCTTGATGGCTTCCACCGCAGTTGACACACGTTGGCTCTATGTCATCAACTTGCTCACCGGACGCAGTTGAGTGAGTTCCAGCACACTTGCCGCAGTTTGTCTTCATATGGCAGTTTTTGGTGCCATGGCCATAGGAGAGGCAGTTCATACACTGCGTAACATCACGATGTTGAGGTTTGTAATGCTCCCAACTGATGATGACCTGAAACAGGTCCCGGCTTTTGGATCTCAGAGCCGCAAGACTGGTGGATCCCTTCGTGAAGTGCACCAGGAACAACTGGTCACGGAAGCTGGTATTGTTGATGGAACGGTGGTTCATCTGGAACACAGCCTCAGGTTGGAGCCCAAGCCGCTCCAGTTCGGACTTCACCGCAGCCGCCTCGAACGACGGTAATCCACATGATTTTGGTACCGATGCTGCAAAGCTTGAAGCGTGGCAGCAGCTTGTGTTTTACCAGTTCGGCACCTAGCTTGGCAACATCCTTCACCGGCGTGAAAAGCGGGGGAATCCACTCTCATCTTGCAATGGGAACGGCGTCACCATCGTCATTTTCATCCGGGAGTACTGCATACTGGTTGGCTTGCAGTACTCGTTTTCCGGCGTCATCCTGCGACGCGCTGGGCTTGATTAGCACCTTCTTTGAAGGGCCCGCTGCTGGCTCATTGGCACGTTTACGCACCATTTGTTTCGTGTTTGCAAGTTCAAGTAAACTTGCCAGAAGGCAAGAAGGTGGCGACACTTCCACGGCGCAACGCGACAGCACAAAACGAAACAAAATCGAAACGAGATCTCGAGCGAAAAATACGGACTGAACAGCTCAACAGTCGAGCAAAGAATGAGTTCTGAAACGTTTAGCGTTAGCGTTGTTATGATATACTTCGTAGATTGGATACTATATGGTATTTCACCTGAAACGTTTTCCCCAACAAACGATGCATTTAGCACTCTAATAGCTGTGAGCTCCATCCTGGATAATAGGGCTACGGGATGTAATGTCAACCAAACCCCTCACTTTGGCCTATCAAGCAAATAACTCATTCATTCAGCAATAATACACAATATGAAAAACTAACACCACATCTGCTGCAAAATTCTAAGCCGTAAATCAATTGCCTATTTTTGGGACAAATTTTGAACATTTATTGTTATTTAAAAAAAAAAAATAATCAAATTCTCTTAATTTTCGATTTCTAGGCGGCATGATCTTGCCATATTATTGTACTAATGAAAATCTACGCTTCGGGGGTCATCAAACAATCTGATAATTGCATGAATTGAATAGACTTACCTTTTTGTAACATCCTAGCCTAATAAATCAACATCACACTTTTCATTCTTATTACAAATT